AATGGTCTTAGATTTACTTGCTTTGTCAATGTGTGAGCTGGTGCAGAGAAATTAGTAAAGGTCATTCCATCCATAAAGATTTGTGAAGTGAAGCTTAGAAAGCTGCTCCTTTTTTCATCTTTATATGACATTTTTTAGCATGATAAATTGTATTATGCCGTGCCATCTTATAATTTAATTATACGACTGCTGGACTTTAATGCAAATTTACAAATGCAAAGCTTAGAAATAGCAGTAGTATTAGTAACAAAACTAACAAAACAAAATAAAAAAAATAACAATAATAAGTTCAAATGACTTTGGTTGGCTGAAATCAGTAGGATATTTTATCTCTGTTTTCCAAGTAGTGACAGACCAGCTCCAACCCAGCCAAGCTGGGACATAGGATGCAAACACCTAACACCTTAGAGCTATGACCACTGTCCTAATTAAAGCTCCTTTGAAACCGATCTGCCGTTGTTTTCTGTGGATTTCACTCTGTTAGTGCTTACATAATGGAATCCTCTGCTTAAAGTTCGTCTTTCTACAAGAACAAAACACCTGTGGTAAAATATTGTGTATTTCTCAAACACACAAAAGATTATTGGCAGTACCATAATTTGGTGCCATCTTGCGAACTGAATGGTAAAACTAGATAAGCCATGAAAACAAGATGTTTGTGGATAAGTCTCAGTTATGAAGTGATACTGTATCTTGGGGGGTCTGTGCTGTAGGTCATGCATGGCAGTAAATAAAGACTTTCACACAGAAAGATAAAAGATATTGCACATGAAAGAACAAGCTTATCTTTAAATGTTGCTTTGTGGCATGAGTTGCAACTGGCTTTTCTTCTTTAAGATGAGCTGATGTTTCCGGTTTCAAAGGTTGCTACCTTTGAAATGCAAAAAATTGTCCTTCACCATGTGCGTTTCTTACTAAATGATGCCACTCCTAACAATTACAATGTTAACTCTGATAGGAAATTAGATTGTTGCTTATTCGTCCCGTGTTTCGGAACGAAGATGCTAGGAGATTTTTTTATTTTTCTATTTGTGATTTAATCATGAAAGGCAAATGTTTTTAACTAGTACAATACTTGAGAGTTACAGTCTTTTAGTTCTCTGAACTTAAACCTTGTGGTAACACATCAGTGTTTGTAAATGCCATTTATAAACATTTGAATGAAATATATTTTTGAAATGTTAATATAGTGCAAAGATAAAAAAACAGATGATGAGTGCGTTGAGAATCCGAATGAGTTTAAATTACTGAGCAAGGAAATGGAAAACATTTGTACAGTACCGATGGGGTAGAGCTTTGGAACAGATTTATGAGTGACCTGTAGGATGTGGAAGCAGGAGAAAACAGCAAAAAGGATTTAACACATGAACTAAGCACCGTCCTTATTAATATAAATACACCTGCTTGGTTCATGAACTTAAAGCATAGCCTTTGCTCCTTTCCTACCCATAATGTTTTAAAAGGTTCATATACAGTACATGTTTTGACAGTTCTCCAGATTGACAGGCACATGTTTACTTTAATAAATCATTTAAGATTGCCCACAGGACATATTGGGAAAATGAGCTTATCATATCAAATCATTTGTGGATCCAGACAGGTAAGTAACTACATTCAATAATATAGTCAAAGGTACATGAACCCTTTAAATAAAACATAAAAAGATGCTGTTGAGCTCCCTTTATTAGGATGAAAAAGCATACTGATTAGAATCATTTTTTATGTAAACAACCTGCAAATCTTCATGGGTCAGGTCCCCTAGGCTGGACTTTTCTCTGACTAAAGGGGGAATGATGGAAGATCGACTGACATCCTTCCTCTTCCTAACCAGTTCAAACCAGTTTTCAAGGCCGTGTGGGGAATGATGGGAGCTGTCATCAGGTTTGCTCAGATGATAAATAGAGAAGTGCCAGGATTCTCATTCTGGCATTTTTCACAAATGCTTAAATGGGCAATCAATTTTGCACTTATTAAATATGAAAAACAAAACAAAGACTTCATATTTCCTCCACATCACATTTAATTTCTGCAGAGATGGTATGTGTATTGCCATTCATTCTCAGTATTTCATTGTGTACTGAGTGTACAGTGTGTGTCAGCTTAGCAGATGCAAAGTGAGATGGAGAGCACTTTGGGAATAAGATTGGGAAAGATCTCCATAAATACATATTCAAGATGTGTTACTTATTAGATTTCCAATATTTCTTAGATTAGTTTTTGTGCTTTAATGGTTAGTTTCTCAACACAACTTCTGTCTACTTTAGTATCAGAGTAGTAGTGCCCGTTTTGCTTAAGACTGGGCTACGAGTAAGGACTTGGTGTTACTGGATTGTATCATGAAATTAACTCGGAGGAGGAAGAATGTGTCTTCTCCAAGTTGCAATTATTGGAAGCTCCTCTTAAATGTGGTTGATAAGGTTAGCGAAATAGGTTATTACGTATATACAGGTCTTCGATGTTCTGTTGATTTTTTAACCAGTAAACTCCATTGTCAAATGACCCCCTGTTTTGCAACTTTATCCTTATAAGGTGCTGGTGAGATGGAAGCTAATCAGGCAAGGTACAGGGCTCAAGTGCAGCTACTCCCCGGATAGTGCTGTATACTAGTCCGTTGCTCACACACAAGCCATTTAGAGATGTTAGTGAACCTGGACACCACCTCTCTGGACTGTAGGAGGAAACTGGAGTAGCTAAGAAAAAAACCCACATGGATGCTTGGGTACATGCAAACCCAAGCAGCAGCACTAACCATTGTACTGTCACTTTTATTTTACATAATGTACCGCATTCCTGAACTCGCGTGTTCAGGATGCCGGATATATGTCTCATTTGTATTTTGTAACTTTTAGCTTCGTTGACATGTACAGTACATGGTGGAGCGGAACTAGGGGATGGGGTTTTCCTTTTTGGTGCTACGGGTTTAAATGAAGGATGGCTGGCAATAAAATTGAATTGGGCTCAACCTCTGTTTTGCTTGGTCCACCATTGTTGACTTTTAGGCATGAAAGGTTTAATGGAGTTGAAAAAAGACATCTCCTAGAATGGTTACTTATACAACAGGGGAATCTGAGCAGGACAACAATAAGTAGATGAAAAGGCAACAATGAAAAGAATCTGACATTTTGAATTTTTTTACTTTCTCAACAAAGCCACTTTCCTTTTCCAGAGCCCTGTTTTAGTGTACGAGACATTGCAGACTTTCCCTGTTGTCATACAGAATTAATCATTGTTCTTCTAAAATATGTGCCTGTATAAGGATTGACAGTATTCTTGCTTTCCTCACTCATTTGACCTGGACACCTGAGAAATAGTTTTACGGCTGTGAAAGTCATTCTAGAGACAGTCCCATCAGTCAAAGACACTTTTCTTGCTTATTTTGATACTTGTCTTAAAAGAAAATCTTGTTTGATGTCCACTTCCATTCTGTGCACTGTTGACTATTTGTAGCATAATGAAAAGATTTAAGACAGCGGTGCAAGGTAGATAAATATCAAACAAGAAAGGATGCACCCATTTTCTGTCAGAGAGCAAAAGAGGAAAAAACGTAGAGGCATCTCTTTTTGGGACTACTCAACTTACTCAAGATATCTTCAGTACAGTACCACTGCATGCCATCCTTCAGCCTGGAGGGTTGAAGGCAGATCTGTAGCCTCCAGGCTCTTTGTCTGATGTCCTATTTTCATCTGCACAGCTAATCACTGGAGTTTTTGAAGCTATTGATCTCTGGTGATGGACTTTTCTCCATTTCTCAGCCTTACTTTGCTCTGTATAGGTCATGCGTTTAGAGTTATATTAGTAAGCACTCCTCCACACACGCACATGCACACTTATTCCATTTTCCTCTTCATTCTTGGAATTGAAGATAACAATTTTGATCTCCCTAATGACCCTCGGCATAGGTCAGAATTTCAAATTATCCCAATCTTTTGCCTGTAATGCCACTGACTCAGAATATACTTTACACGTGATTGTACCTTCTGGGTTACCCAGGTGCCGGGAATAGGTGCTGTTGCACTCATAGAGTCTACATTAATAAGGTTATAACTCCAATATATAAAATCCAATCACCGCTCATTCAGAAAGTCAAAAACTAAGAGCTGTTGAATATGTTGCAAAAACAACAATATTTTGTAGTTTTATATTGCAGATAGTATTCATTTCTCATCGTCTCCAAGTACAATAAGATAGATCATGTTATAGGTTATATACAAAGTGACGTATTCTTCTATAGAGTCAGTTATGGGTGCTTATAAAGAATTCTGATTAAAATAAGATGGACACTGATTTTGTTCAAGCCTTCTTTACAATTCTAAACCATCATGAGAATAGATAGTGGTCACATGAAACCAACTAACAACACCTCTATTCTGCACCTCTACACTGCATCTTTGTGCATGAAGATATTTCCCCATGGTCCTGTTTGTGTTGCTCAATTCAGTGCACAGTTTTAATGATATAGCTGTTAGAACAGGCCAGCTAACTTCACAGCAAGCATCATGCAAACAAACCAGTTTTAAAACAAAGATACAAGACTTATATAGTATTGAATATCTTATATTATCGTATAATGAATTGTACGTGTTGAAATTTCATTGTTACTGTAGCTGGCTATAATGCTCTTTTCTCTTTTCAAAGGGATGTACAGTCTCTTGTTGCGTAAATCACTTTCAAAATTCTGTACCTAATTTATTGTCTTTTTAAACTTCATGGTCAGAAAAATGTTTAAGTGATTTCATTGCAGTAGTCTTTGCACGAAGCAGTATTTCAGTATTTTACACATCACCTGGTAAGTCGGTACCTTATCCCCAGAATTCACACTGGTGGCAAATAAGATATGTCTGAGGATGTTCAGCATCTGTCCCATAAGAAAACATCTGTCTCTGGAATGCTTGTGATGGACTTTGACGCTAGGTTACAGCTTCTGCTCTTTTTCAGTCTTCCTCCTTTGAAAATGGTCTCTTCTTCCTATGTTTGTTTGACTGTTTTATTTCTCCTTCTAGTGCATTTTGATGACTGCGCAGGGAACGAAAACGTGAAGTTTGAAGTCTCGCATCCGTACCTCACAGTGGATCAAGATGGATCCCTGGTGGCCCTCAGAGACATCACAGACACAGGATCGTTTCTGTTCATCCACGGACGAACTGCTCACGCCGATGATATGGCAGAGGTCAAAGTCATTGGGGCACCGCACAGAATTTCTCAGAGCTTGAAGGTAGAATTCATGTCAAGTACAGTCTTTTCAAAAACTGTTTTATGCGCCGTTGCCGAATACATCAATGGTTGGCCTTTCAGAACAATCATTGTTATTTAAACTTCATGATGGCTAAATAACACATCAAGAATATTTTTGTATCCATAAAAAAACTTTTCTCAAACCCGGAAAAATGTAAAGGGTGAACATTGATGGTAAAGAAATAAGCTTTGCTGTAGCTGAAAATTGAGTAGCTATAACTCCCTGTGGGATAAAGACATTGGTGACATTGATCTTCGACTTCCTATAAACATGAGGAATTGCATGTAAAAGTCAGCATTTAGACGTTTATGGGCTGAATGGTGAGAGTGCCCCAGGGGTCGACTTTACTGTCTGCAATCGTGGTATGCAGTGTTAGCTTTCCATATACAGTACTTCCTACTGTCAGATTAACTGACCTGCTGTGCTCAAAGCAGGGGAAAGCATACTTTCTGAGTGTTTCTGAATTTTTGGTCCGAGCATGATATTGAAAGAATGGTCTTTTTATTTCTATGAATTTATATTTGTGGAATTGGCCTTCATGTTTATGATGTACTGTAGCAAGTATAAAGGTGCATGTCAAAACATTACGGTAGAATTTGGAATTTAAAAATGACATGTTTAAAATCATTTTTTCTGTGAGTTGGTTTGTGGACTGAAATCTACAATTTGTACTCCAGCTGTTATTGGTTTACCGAGCCTCAGGTTTCACAAGACCTTCAGCTCCACCAGGAATAATATGAATTTTAGCTTTGAATGAAAGGTGGAGTTCAGTTCAACAAACATGAAAGACAAATGAGTTGAAATTTCAGGAGCTTGGACAGTTATCAAGGCATACAGAGTTGCATAAAGTGTGGAAATATGATTGGATTTAATAACAATCAATCCTTAGGTTTCCTTATGCATTTTAGTTGTATGTATTTGCTATATATCATATTACCTGTTTAATGCTCCAAACCAGTGACAAGCATCAGCACAATTCATTAGAGACATTTTTACTCAAGGAAAGCCTATGCATTATACAGTAAATGCAGGTACTGTGGCTGCCACTGGTAATGTAATACTAGTAATTGTTCGAAAATATACAGTAGTACTCTAGCCTTTATAATTCTTTGGGTAAGTACAGATAATGTCTGTTCTCTGTTAAAGAATGGCTAGCTAAGCATGGATATCATGAGTGAACCTACAATTCTGTGACTGTTAACTGAAAATTGGTACTGGAACCTTATTGATACTGAAGTGTGGCTGATTCCCTTCCATAAATAAAAAGATACTGTAGGTAAGTAAAGTGAGGGAATGATTGCAAAGTTTTGATGATAAAGGGAACATACTGTAAGAAGTCAATGAGGAAAATAAAGAAAGTGATGCAGTTTCGGGGGGGATGCTTTATGCTTTAGGGTAGAGTACTCTTACAATGTGATACACCTTTAATACAACTTGGTCTACATCATTGCAGTGCTTAATGCAGTTAACTAGGTATAGATCAGATGGTTTATTGCAGTTTCTGGACAGCTACAGGGTTGAGGGAATTAATTCAGCCTGTGTGGTACAGTACAGCCAACAACAGGCGAACAAGGTGCCATCTCTTCACACTAGTTATGTGAAGCTCCAGGCTTCAAAAACCAGTGTAACCATTTGTCAGCAGAATTGCTGTCCACAGTGGACTTGGATGTAGTAGACTATTTTCTTTTGTGTCAGTCCATGATGATAAAAAAACAAAGTTAAACAGGTAAGGTCTAACGTATTGTAATCACCACTGTCATGTTCCCTGTAAGGCAGATACCAATTGATGTTGCCCTGTGACTCAAAGACAGATCTAACCATTCTCTAAGGAGTTCATTCAAGCGGTTCATTCATATTTTTTTCCTTAAAAGATGCATTTCCCCACTTAGATGGACCAGAACCAGTCCAGTAATTAATATTGTAAAATTTTATACAGCAGATTTTAGCATATCGTCCTAATGTAAGGTAAGTCATTTTACATTGGTAACAAGAGAATCCTGTTCTGTTGGTATTTTTAGTCTTCTAAGTAGTCTGATCATTAATATGTGCAACTGTCAAGGGGTCATAAGACATTTAATGTCATTTGATTATCGATTACTGTAGTTCTCATTACAACATGTATTATATTCTTTAATTATAATATAGTTTTATATAATGCATACTGTATGTTCTACTGTATATATACAGTATATAGTCAATACAGGGCCATTTTTATATTTTAGATGACTTTGACATTTAAATCATATTTTGGTTCCTATATATACAGTGTAGTGCTTTCAATGTGAAAATGCATATTAAATAACTGTTTTGTATGTAGGGGGAAATGAATGATAGTAATACACATATTTTCAGTATACATTTTTATTTCACAAAACATTTCACATCTTTGAATTCAAGTACAAGCAGTTAACAAATGAAATAGTGATACTGTTTTGGTTTCACATCTGTGTAACGTTTATGTAATAGCGTAGTGTTTGTAACTTAGAGCCATAATGGAAAAGGCATTATTATTTTAGGTTTGTACTGCAGGCACTTGTTCATTTATTGTTAAGACTGATCTTTAAGGCTACAATTTATGATAGACAGACATATGTGTTTGCATGGTGTCATCTTAAGCTGTTTAATAAATAAACTTAAGAAATTAAAAATCCACTTTTGCATCTGCCTCTCGTGCACTGTCACACTACACAGGACAAATGTGGAGAAATAGATCAATTCTTCTTGGCAACTCGTTCTGCTTTGAACTACGTTGATAGTTCAGTCATGAAATAGTAGCTTCCTCCTCCAAGCTGTAGCTGCATTTAAAATGATTAAAAGATAGCTTGGTGCAATTATTGAGATTCCATTACCTCACCACATACAATTATTCTTCATCATTAATATAATGGGTATCCTAAAGGCTTTAAAATTATTTTTGTTCTAATGAGACTTGTAACTTTATCATTTAGTTGCATCATTGTATAATTTAATGTTCTAGCATATCTTTTGCAGATTGGAAATATTCTAGGTTGCTAAATTGTCATAGTATTTATTTTTTCAGCTTCTATGGGGGTAATTCATAAAACTTACTGTCTCTTTTACCATGGAAGTCAAGACTATTACCATCTCATTGTGCTTTTTTCCTGATTCATAAATATAATTTATTGGCACAGTAGTTGTATTACTATGATAGAAGACAGTACTGTACCATCAAAACGTATCCTTTTAGGCAATAAAAAATGACCACAGTAATTGGCTTTTACTAACATTACCAGTATAGTCTTTTCAAAGGGAAAACTTGACACTTTTGCATGATGTCTGGCATCATTTTCCATGATGTTGGTGTCAGGCAATATAATAGTTTTACCACTGCTGGTTTAAGAGATCTACTGTATGTGCTGTTGTGCTGGTGAAGTCTAGTGTCCAAATCAGGGAGAAATGTTCTGACAGTAACATACAGTATCAACTTGACTGAGATAGCTAATGTTATTTTTGTGAGAAGTTTTGTGCGTATCTGTTAAACCTTTGAGATTCATTTTGTCAACCCATACCTTAAGAATGAAAACATGATTATGTTTCTTCTACTGATCATGACAAAGGCAAAAGCCTCAAGCTGACACTCAGCACACCTTTGTATCTTTGTTAGGAGTTTGACAAAGAAGCACAGATTCTGTCATTTGTTTCCTTTACTATTGGATCATTTCTATAATATATAGATCGTGGAAATGCTAAGTTGACGGCCCAGGTAGGGTAAGGGTTAGCATTCACACTCTTATTAGACAATTTTTGAAGCTTGGCGCTGGATATTGGGACCCAATTCAGGTTCAGGACGAGTGGTTTCGTGCTCCTATCCTATCATCAAGCATTATTGATTCTCATTCACATGCAAGGGCATTGATCAATGGTGTGATTGTTTCCCATTCATACTTTTTGGTTTGGGGAACATGTCTTAATCTGATGCCCAAAGAGGCTCAGATTCTCAGATTCAGATCGCGGAAATGCTCAGTGGATGCCCCAGGTAGCGTTAGGGTTAGCATTCACACTGTCATTAGACAATTTTTAAGTATAGAGCTGGATATTGTGACCCAATTCAGGTTTAGGAGGAGTGGTTTTTTACTCCTATCTGAAAATATTTTTTTCGGAAACTGTCTGTGGCCTGGATGGCAAGGTGCACCGTGTGGTAACTGTTTCCCGATCAGTTACTGAGTCGGTCGCATCAAATGTTCTGAGCAAGCATTATTGATTCTCATTTACTTGCAAGAGCTTTGATCAGTGTCTTGATTGTTCCCCACTCATACTTTTTGGTTTGGGGAAAATGTTTAAAACCCATGGCCAGAGAGGGTCTGATATAGATTGAGGAAGTGCTCAGTTGACAACCCAGGTAGGGGTAGGGTTAGCATTCACACTCTCATTAGACCATTTGTATTCGCAGCCCTGGATATTGTGTCCCAATTCAGGTTTAGGATGAGTGTTTTTTTTCTATCTGAACTTTTTTTTCTGAAACTCTCTGGGGCCTGGATGGTGGGGTGCACCGCGCAGTGATTGGATCCTGAAACTGAGTTGGTCGGATCGAAAGCTGTGAGCAAGCATTATTGAATCTCATTTACTTCCAAGAGCCTTCATCGGTGATCTAGGTGCAGGATCTAGAAAATAATGGTCATTTGGTCCCAAGCAAGGAGGTGGAGGTGCCTGCTGAGCTGTAGGGGTTCTGGGACACATGAAAAGGAATTGTCCGGCTTACCTTTGTGAATTAATTTCTTGGTAGAACATTCAGAGTCTGCATCAGTGGAAAATCCAGGATAAAAAAGTCAGGAAGGCAGAAACCAAGAGCGGGGAGACGCGCAGAGAGAGGGAGAAGTGAGTGCCAGACAAGAGATCCTTACTCTAGTAAACTTTCACTTTGGGATTTTAGTTAATTATTTTAAGTTTGTTTTAGCGAGATTTTAGTTACTTTAGGAAACTCTGATTTCTTTTATAAAGAATCCCCAGGTTAAACACAT